CCACACTGCAATCCCTTCTCCTCCATTCTCCTCTTGGGACCTTGGGCATGCACGCACATGTGCCTAGCGTGAGTTTAAGCCACCAGGTCCCATGCTTGAACCACGATCGACTACATGAGAGTCCAGCGACATAGACATGCTATCTGCTGGTCCCTGTTTTTTAATATTTTAACTGGGGTAGGAAAGAGGAAAGTATATTTGAATCAGCAGGGTTTAAAAATAATACATGGGGACCAGCAGATAGCATAATAGTTACATTGCTGGACTCAGATAGTTAACTGGGAATCAAGTCCTGGACCTGGCAGTTTAAAATTCAAGCCAGGTGCACGTGCATGCATGCATGCCCAAAGTCCCAAGAAGAGATTGGAGGAGAAGGGATTGAGGCATAGCCATCCCCTTTTGAGGGTGATTTCTTGCTTTCTGTCTCTCTGTCTCTCTGGCAAGCTCACGTACCCTATAGCGAAAAAATCTCTAAAAACCCCCCTAAAAAAACCCGGAACAGTAATACATGGATACTGATCAACTCACTGTCCATCATGACATGCAAGCCCCTTTATATGTCCCCTTGGTCATTTCTTGCTTCTCTAACCCCCCAACATTGTGCAAGCTACTCAAAAAAGTTGCATTTCTCTGTACTCTCTCTATCTGCACACATATCCATCCCTTTTAAAATTTTCTTTTTACCCAAGCTTCCCTCGAAATTCTCTAGCCTAACTTCTATTTGTCCTGAAAGACTCCACTGAGCTATCATCTGAATGGAGAAGTCTCCCCCCATTCCACTCTGGGCCTTCCTAAAAATCTCAAAGCACCCTGCACATACCTCTGATTTAATACCAAACAACATACCTTGGGTTAGGTCCACTTACCATTCTGTAGCACCCAACAGAGGGTTTGGCATGTTGCAAAACCCTCTATAAGTATAAATAAAAATTAAAAAGTAAAATGATAATAAGATAATAGAGCAGGCACATAGCTCATTGGTTAAATGCTGTATATCAGGAGCTGGATCCTATTTGGCTTACTGCAGTTTGAATCTCCACCCTGGAGATGAGAAACATGCCAGACATGTATGCATACATGCCCAAAATCCTGACACAGTGGAGAAAGCAAAAAGGATTGTGGCCTGACAACCCTCCATTGAGGGCTGCTTTCTCTCTGTTTCTCTTTCTTGTGGGCATAGGGACCTTCTCACAAAAAAATAAAAAATAATAAAAGTAATGCATGAATGTAGTGTTCTTTTAATCAAGTTGCAAAGCCAGCAGGTGGTGTGGAGGTTAAGGTGCTGGATCACACATGGCCAACTGTAAGGTTTGCGTCCTAGACCCAGTGGCTTGAAAATCATGCCAGGCATTGAGCATGCCAAAAATCCCAAGAGGAGAATGGAAGAGAGAGAAAGGATTGCAGTGTGGCCATCCTCCCTGGGGAGTGATTTTTCACTTTACATCTCTCTTGCTTTCTTTGTTTCTCTCTGGTGAGCGCATGCACTCTATAGCAAAAACTTAAAAGGAATCAAGTTTTAGTATTCATCAAGTACAGTATTATTCACATAAAAACCTAAAAATGCAAAACAAGGGACCAGCAGTTAACGTAATGGCTATGTCGCTGAACTCCCATGCAGTCGACCACAGTTCGAGTCCTGGACCTGGTGGCTTAAACTCACGCCAGGCACGTGTGCGTGTGTGCCCAAGATCCCGAGAGGAGAAGGGAGGAGAAGGGATTGCCGCATGGCCATCCCTCCAGGGGCTGATTTCTTGCTTTCTGTCTCTCTCTCTGTCTGGCGAGCGCACGCACCCTATAGCAAAAACCGCTCAAAAAAAAAAATGCAAAACAATACCTTAGTAAGAGGTATTTACCTATGCAGTAAGAATGTGATGATGTACAAGAGTCATAAACACCACATTCCGGATTGTAGTTCCATTTGGAGGAAGGGAGGGTTAGTGGATAGAACGAGGGAGAGATGCCAGGTGGTGTCTACCATGTCTCTAATGTGTTCTGTGCTGAATAGTAAATGGGTGGGTAGATATTTGTTACATCATTTTCTGTATCTACTTACCTACATGAAATATTTTATAATTTTTAGAAACAGAAAAAGGAATAGATAGAGGTATGCATATATTAATTTTTTTTAACTTCAAATGGTATACTGCTCCCTCTACCCTTAACCCTAAACTCGTTAGTTTCCTTCCCAGAAGTTAACATTTTACTGGTTTATTTGAACCTTTCCAGAAATATGTACATTAAAACTAATATAGTAGTCTTTTCTGTACAGTTTTATACTATGCCTTTTTTTTTTCTTTTTGAGAGGTTTTTGCTATAGGGTGCATGTGCTCGCCAGAAAGACAGAGACAGATAGAGAGACAGAAAGTGAGAAATCCCCCCCCAGAGAGGATGACCATACCACAATCCCTTCTCCTCCATTCTCCTGTTGGGATCTTGGGCACGCACGTATGTGTACCCGGCATGAGTTTAAGCCACTGGGTCCAGAACTCGAACCGTGGTCTACTACATGGGAGTCCAGCGACATAGCCATCACACTAACTGCTAGTCCCGCCATTTTCTTTTTCTTTTTTTCTTACAGTTTTTTCCAGCGTGCCCTCACTGGAGAGACAGAAAGAGACAGACATAAAGCAAGAAATCACCCCTCAGGGGATGATGGCTACACCACAGTCATTCTCCTTTGTTGCAGTCATTCTCTTTTGTTCTTCTCTCAGGATTTGGGGCACACACACACATGTGCCCGGTATGAGTTTTAAGCCACTGGGTCTGGGACTCTTAACTATAGGCAGCTACATAGGAGTCCAGTAGTATAACCATTATACTATCTGCTGGGCCCTTTTCACTTAATAATATATCTTGGAGATTATTCCAAGTTAGTATGTTAAATATGTAATTTTAATAAAATTAAAGTCTACCTCTTACTAATAATAATTACTGTCATCTTTACCAAGCTCTCTGCTGATAAGCATAAATACTTGTTTTTGCTGTGTCACATTTGCTAATCAGTTTTTAGCAGGAAATCCAAGTTTCCAGGTAATTCCTGAGTCTTCCCATGGTTCTTTATTGGGAACCCTCATGCCTGTATGTGTCTTGAGTCCAGTGGAAATCAGAGTTTACGGTCTTTATGGGGCTCCAGAGCTGCGTATAAATCAGATGCTTTAGTCTACTTTGCTGTTTCGGACAGCTGAATACCACACAGGGTGGTTTATGTGTTTCCTAGATTCTTACAGTTTGTGGGTCATGTTCCCTCTGGGTGGTGGGGAAAAGGAAGGTTGGGTTCTGGTGCTGTGTAGCTTGGGTTTGAGTCTCATGCTTTGCCACTTACTGGCCGTGTGTCCTTGGGTAATGCTTTAACTCTGTTGATTCAGCTCCTTCATCTGTAAGAGGCATTTAGTATTCCCTTTCTTGTAGAGTTGTATTGAGAATTAAATGAATAAAAAGTGCATGATATATAGGAAGCACTGTAAGATGTTAGGTATTTTTATTATATTATCTATCATTCAGCCTACTGCCAATTTCCAGACAGCTAACCCCACACTTCACCACTGACTTCCTTAGACCTTGATCTCTCTGGCTAGTGAGGAAACCTCATTCTCTTTTTCAGGATCTACTCTCGCAGAGAATGTTCTGCTAGCCACCCAGTGTTACTTGTGCTGTAGCTGCCTGCTACCAGAAGCACCAGGGCTCTGTGCACTGCTAGGATAGAGAAGGTGGTGAGTGCAGCCTCCCAGCTTGCCTGGAAATACCACTCTGGAATGCCCTTACTGCTTACATTAGGCCTCTTGGCCAGAGCTCTGCGTATTCTTTCTCATGCAAGATTTTCCCTGAGACCCAGTTGTCCCATCCGGCCGTTTACTTTGGGAGCTGCATGTCTATATGTGTCTGAATCCAGTTGAGATTAGAGTTTAAGGTCTTTCTCGTGGGGATCCAGGGTCCCATGTAAATCAGGTGCTTTAGTCTCCTCTTCTGTCTCTGACAATACTGCACTGGGTGGTTTATAAAGAACAAAGACTCATTAGCTCATGGTTTTGGAGGTCCCATATAAAGAGGCCACATGTGGTCGGGTTTTGTTGGTGGGGACTCCCTGCAGAGTCCCGAGGCTGGGGCAGGGCACAAGAGTGAGAGCTTATGTATTCTGTCTGTGTCAAGTCTGATTCCCTTTTCTTGTATACCCACCAGACTTAGTCAAGGGGGCCCTGCCCTGATGACCTTAACTAATTTTAATCATGTCACAAAACCCCACCTCTTAATCTTGTAATTGGGTCAACAATACAATCAAATTTCAACACATGAATTTAGGGGAACACATTGAAACCACGTATGAGGGGATGTGGCTTGACATCTATTTTTTCTTTACTTACAGTAGAGCACATGTACACACACGTGAGAGTTAAGTGTGGGGGCAAAGGTCTGGTCATGTCTCAGTCCCCTTCCTTCAGTCCTCTAGCCCATCATATCCTAGGCACTTACATGTGTGCCTGGCTTAGGATTCGAATTGTAGTTGCCATGTAGGATCCAGCTTCTCTTGAGCAATGCATTCCTACTTCACCATGAAGCTGGCCCTTGACATCTATTTTAAGAGCTCCTGAACTTACTATCACCAATAAGTCCCCCAAACATTTTATGATAGTTGGGAGACTAGTGTCTCCTGAGCACCAGAGATGTCCTAAGGAGCAGTAACAACTCTAGTCCAGGCAGGACACTCTGTTACGTTATTAGCATTTATAGCTAATATTTGAATAGCAGTTTCCAATACAACATGATTTGTACATAAGTTTTCTCATTTAACTCTGAAGCACAGGACTCAGTATCTCATTCTCATTTTTCCAATGCAGAAACAGGATTAGAAACTGTTGGCACAAGTAGAAAAGGACAAGCCAGGACCAGCATCTGGTGTAGTGGTTAAGGCACTGGACTCCCACATGGCCAACCACCATTCAAGTCCTGAATCTGACTGCTTGAAACATACCAGGCTGTATGTGTGTATGCCCCAAATCCGAAAACAAGAATAGAGGAGAAAGGATTGCAGCATGGCCATCCCTCCTTGGGGGTGAGTTCTCATTTTCCCCCTCACCGTCTCTCTGTCTCTCCTGCAAGCCCTGTAACAAAAACCTTAAAAATAAAAGAGGGGCCAGCAGATGGCACAATAGTTAATGTCACTGGACCCGGTGGCTTAAAACTTATGCTAGGTACATGTGCTGTGTGCCCAAGATCTTGAGGGACCCGGTGGCTTAAAACTCATGCTAGGTACATGTGCTGCATGCCCAAGATCTTGAGAAGAGGAGAAGGGATTGTGTGTGACCATCCCTACTGCGGGGTGATTTCTTGCTTTCTGTCTCCCTGGCAAATGCATACACCCAATAGCAAAAAAACAAAACAAAACAAAAAAAACCTCTAAAAATAAATAAATAAATAGCCAAATAAATAAATAAATAAATAAAAATAAGAGAGAAAGAAAGAAAAGAAAAAGAGAGAGTACAGGCCTTCTTTTAGCTTATGTGTCATTCATACCAAGCTACCTGCTTACCAGATGTAAAAAGGCCATATTTTACTGAGAAGCAGAATTTATATCAATTGTCTAATAAGGGGATTTAATGTCAGGTAAGTTTGGGGTAAAATGAACAGTATTGAAAACTACTGAATAATTTCATTTAAATTTAGGTCCTTTTTTTACTTTAGGTTTGCGTGAGCTATGGTCAGTTTTGTAACTACATGTATGTATGTGTATTTGTGCATACACACTCACATTTATGTTGTCCTTTCTCAGAGCCACCATGGACACCGCTGGCCATAGCCTTGTCCTTCTCCAGCAGCTGAACATGCAGCGAGAATTTGGTTTCCTGTGTGACTGTACCGTTGCTATCGGAGATGTCTATTTCAAAGCTCACAGAGCAGTGCTTGCTGCTTTTTCTAACTATTTCAAGATGATATTTATTCACCAATCAAGGTAAGGATATAAATTCTTTATAAATCAGAAGAATTTTTCATTCTTAATTCTGTGTATGTAACTATATAATATCATTTTGAGAATTCTTTGTTATCTAGTCACCCTAACAGAATTACATTTAAAATAAATTCTTTGTACATCGGTAATTAAACTCAATGTACAGGCTCCATGGTGGAAGAAAGAAAACAGTAATAGCTAAAATTTATTGAAGTTTTATTTGTTTACCCTATAATGTAAATTCTGTTGTCTCTATTTTAGAGAAAAGGGAACTGAGATTGAATTGTTCAATAATTTGCCATCCAGAATTATACAACTAATAAGCTAGACTCAAATGCAGAGCTGTCTGAAACTCAAGGTCTGTGCACTTAACAACTAAGTTAGTGATCTCTGTGTTACAACACTACAGTAATAATTCTAAAACGGTATATTCCGTATCATAGTTCAAAAGTCATTTGTTTTAAATATTTTTAGAGTTGTTTTGTTCTTTTGAATTTGGGATACCCCAACATAATATGTTTATTGGGAGAACACCAGAAAGTGGTATTCAGATTTTGAGCTCTTGGTAAAGCATAGTTTTAGTCCATCCTAGGTTGAAAGTGACAAAACAGCTTTTTGTTTTTTTCAGAATTATTTTATTTAACTTTATTTGTTTGTTTTAATTTGACCAGATAGGGATGGGGGTGGGGGAGGGGGGAAAAGTGGGAAAGCAAGCTGCCAGGTCTGGGACTTGAACCATGGTCTGCCTGCCATGTGGGGGTCCAGTGCCCTTAACCACATCATTTTCCAGCCCCCATCCTATGCTTCTTTTTCTTTTCTTTTTTTTTTTTTTAGAATTATTTAATTTAATTTAATTAATTAATTTTATTTTAATTTAACCGGGGGTTGGGGTGGGTAGAGAGAAAGTGAGAAAGCAAGCCACCAGGTCCAGGACTCGAACTGCGGTCTGCCATGTGGGAGTCCAGCACCCTTAACCACCACACCACCTGTCAGCCCCATCATCCTATGTTTTTTAAAAAGACCTTGAAATACTTAGGAGTCCAGCCTCAATTACACATTTTTACTTAATTGTACATTAACTCAAATATTATTGAATACTTATGTGTTAAGCACTGTGCTGGACTCTAGTAACAGATAAGTTTATACTGCCTGTTCTCAAGAAATTCATAGCTTGATAGAGAGCTAATGTGTTTATAGCAAGTAATTGCAATGTAATTGAACTCTCTGCGCCTCAGTTTCCTTGTCAGCAAAATGCTAGAAAACTACTCAGCCTGTAGGTATTCAGAAGACTAAGTGTACGGATAATGTTCAAGTGCTTAGAGCAGAGCTTGGCACCGTTGGCATCTATCGTTAATGATGTGATAAGTCTATCATAGAAGCACACACAAGATGGAGTAGGGGTTTAGCAGCCCTATTCTGAGAACGTTAGAACGGGTTTTATAGAAGCCTTGGATCTTGAAGGATATTTCAGGTGTTGTAGCAGAGGATAGGTGCACTGCAGACAGAAGGAAAAATGTCATAGAGACATGCAGTTATGAGCCAGGCTAGCACAGGTGGACAGTGAAGTGGTTCAGTGTGATGGGAATGTATGGCACTAAGAAGAGAGGAGGTTGGAATCAGAGACAGGTAATGGGAGCCTTTTCTGGTAGGCCATGAAGTATCTCTGACCAAAATGTTAGTGTAGATTCCCTTCACAATATTATTAATACAAAGGCTTCCTTCAGATTGTCTCTTCTGAGAGCTATGAGTTGGTTCGGCTCTCAAAACAGCTGTTGTGTGCCAGGCCCGATGCTAAACTAAACCCAAGAAATACAAATACCAAGGTGTCAGACTTTATGGTATCTCTGTATTGAGAGAATGAAAATCCTCAGTTAAAAGCTCTATGCTGATACTTAAAAATTCAAGGGTGGTACATCCCTATAATCCCAGCTACTCAGGAGCCTGAGGCTGGAGGACAGCAACATAGTGATACCCTGTCTGATAAGCACCATGCATGCATTTACACATACACACAAAACAGCCTACCAGCTAACAACAGATCCTACCACAGACCATGTAAGTGGGTGGATCAGAGCTAAGAGTGGAATCCAAGAGAAGAGGGAATCCTGGGCTCTAAGACTTAAGAAATGGATAGCCAGCAAACTGATGCCCAGAGTGTTCTGGTACACTAACAAACTGCTGCTCCAAGGAAGGCCAGTCTGTTGACTAATTCCATTGTTTCTCAATATCCTACGTTTCCCTCATGTTTTCTGTGCCATAATTTTTTGAAGGGTTCACTGCTTTCTTACATAGTTATTTCCATCTGTTACTTGAATTCTAGATTCATATGTAAAGATAGATATATATTATATTGTGGAAGCCAGAATAAAGTTGGCACAGGACCAGCAGTTAGCATAATGGCTATGTCGCTGGACTCCCACGTAGTTGACCGCGGTTCGCATCCCGGACCCGGTGGCTTAAAACTCATGCCAGGCGCGTGTGTGTGCGTGCCCAAGATCCTGAGAGGAGAACAGAGGAGAAGAGATTGTAGCGTAGCCATCCCCCCGGGGGGGGTGATTTCTGTCTCTCTGTCTCTCTGTCTGTCTGGCGAGCGCACGTGCCCTATAGCAAAAACCTCTAAAAAAAAAAATTGGCACAGTTTTGTTTTTGTTTTTAATTGTATTGTTTTCTTTCATGGAACAGACAGACAGACATGGATACCCCCATAGGATCTCACTACACTGCGGTCCATCTCCAGCTTTCAGCCAGCTAGGGCCATGGGAGTCTCTGGCATGTTGAGGTCAGCCTGAGATGTGGACCCCAGGTCTTCACATAAGGCTGACTCCCAGCATCATGCAGTGGTACCACACTCTCTGTACCACTGTGGCTGGGCCAACATCATTTAAATGTTAAATCTTACCAATTTTACTAAACTCTTGTTTAAAATTTTAACTATTTTTGTTGTAGTAACACATGTATAAATGTAAAAATTGCCATTTTAACCATTTTTAATTATATATAACTCAGCGGTGGTAATTACATCCACAGTGTTGTACAGCTGTCACCACTCTTTGCAGACTTTTGTATCACCCCAAACAGAATCTACTCAGCCCCACATGACCTCTATTTTCTGTCTCTATGAATTAGCCTAGTCTAGATATTTCATATAAATGGCAACATATAATATTTGTCCTTTTATGTCTAGCTCATTTTACCTAGCCTAATTTTTTAAATATTTTATTTCATTTTATTCATTGTCATTATTTTATTTTGTGTTTTTCAAGTTGACCAGAGACAGAGAGAAGGAAAGTGAGAAAGCAAGCTGCCAGTTCCAGGACTCGAACCACAGTCAGCCATGTGGGAATCCAGCTGCCTTAACCACCAAGCCACCTGCTGGCCTACTTAGCATAATAAATTCAAGGGTAGGGGCTGGCAGGTGGCATAGCGGTTAGGGTGCTGGACTCCCACATGGCCGACTGTGGTTCATGCCCCGGACCTGGTGGCTTGCTTTCTCCCTTTCCTTTCTCTCTCTCTCGCTCTGTCCCTCTCTGATCAAACTAAAATAAATAAATAAAGTTAAATAAGATAATTCTTTAAAATAATAATAATTTCAAGGGTCGTCTATGTTGTAACTTATACCAGAACTTCATTTTTTTATTTCTTAATTTATTTTAATTTGACTAGCATGAGAGAGAGAAAGAGAGGGAAAGTGAGAGCAAGCTGCCAGGTGTGGGACTCAAACCGTGGTTGGCCATGTGGGAGTCCAGAGCCCTTAATCACCATGCCCCCTGCCGACTCCCAGAACTTCATTCCTTTTTATGGCTGAATACTATTCCATTATATGTATATGCCACACACACACATTTTGTTTACCTGTTCACCGTTTGATGGACATTTAGGTTGCTTCTACCTTTTGCCTGCTATGAATAATGCTGCAGAGAACATTGATGTAAAGGTATCTGAGTTTTATTTAGTTATTTTAGTTACTAAGTCACCAGGAAAGTCATGATGTATTTTTCTGTACAAAAATGTGTCACAACTTTCCTGATGACCCAGTATATTCTCAGTAGACTGTGGAATTCCTCATAGCAGGAGGAATTTTATTCATCATTCTCTACCCCATGGCACCTAATACAGTATATATCATGAAGAGTCACTCAAATAATGTCAACTAATGAAAGTATCTGTCTGTGTTTCCTAACTTTAGGCAATAGATTGAATACATGAAGACTTGTTGGTGAGCCATGAAACTGGCATAAAATGATAGTTTAACCTTTTGTCACTATGTTTCATCAAAGCAGATTGCTGAGTTTGAATTTCCTAGGAAGAAATTGCTTTAGCCTAAGACTGTACCATTAGCTAAAAGGCCAAGTAGTCATGTGGGTCTGTTTTTGTTTTTAACAGTGAATGCATAAAAATACAACCAACTGACATCCAGCCCGACATATTCAGCTATTTGTTGCACATTATGTACACAGGGAAAGGGCCAAAACAGATTGTGGATCATAGTCGTCTGGAGGAGGGGATTCGATTTCTTCACGCCGACTACCTTTCTCATATTGCGACTGAAATGAATCAAGCATTCTCACCAGAGACCGTGCAGTCCTCAAATCTATATGGCATTCAGATCTCAACAGCCCAAAAGACAGCTGTCAAGCAAGGGCTGGAGGTCAAAGAAGCTCCTTCAAATAACAGTGGAAACAGAGCTGCCGTCCAGGGTGACCACCCCCAGTTGCAGCTGTCTCTGGCTATTGGACTGGATGATGGCCCTGGAGAGCAGCAGAGGGCCCATCCTGCCACCCAGGCCTTAGAAGAGCACCAGAAGCCCCCAGTGTCCATCAAGCAAGAGAGATGTGACCCAGAATCTGTGGTCTCCCAGAGCCGCCCTTCTCCTTCATGCGAGGTGACAGGCCCTACTTTTACGGAAAACAGTATCAAAATACACCTCTGCCATTATTGTGGAGAACGTTTTGATTCTCGTAGTAATCTAAGACAGCATCTCCATACCCATGTGTCTGGATCCCTCCCCTTTGGTGTCCCGGCTTCCATTCTGGAAAGTAATGACCTTGGTGAAGTGCATCCACTTAATGAAAATACCGAGGCTCTTGAATGCCACAGGCTCAGCTCCTTCATCGTCAAGGAGAATGAACCGCAGCCAGACCACTCAAATAGGGGTACCACGGAGCCTCTGCAGATTAGCCAGGTGTCTCTGATCTCCAAAGATACAGAGCCCGTAGAATTAAACTGTAATTTTTCTTTTTCAAGGAAAAGAAAAGTAAGCTGTACCATTTGTGGTCATAAATTTCTTCGAAAGAGCCAATTACTGGAACATATGTATACACATAAAGGTAAATCTTACAGGTATAACCGATGTCAAAGGTTTGGTAATGCATTGGCCCAGAGATTTCAGCCATATTGTGACAACTGGTCTGATGTCCCCTTGAAAAGTTCTCGCCTGTCGCAAGAACACTTAGACTTGCCTTGTGCCTTAGAGTCAGAGCTCACACAAGAAAATGTGGACACTATCCTAGTCGAGTAGCATCTTCAGAATTTTTATACCAATTCTGAAAAAGAAAATTCACATTGCATTTTTAAATTATTTTTCTCCTCAAGTTCTATTGACTTTTTTCTCTCTGAGTTACCCATAGTTTTATGGCTGTATATATTAGGTCTATTAGGTCTACTTCTTAGAAGAATAAATCTGTGGCTATTAAAATTAACCCTTAATTCTGTGAACTTTTCATAAATTAAACCATAATTTAGAAATCAGAAATCAGTGTAAAAAATATGGCAACATTAGAGCAAATCGATTTGTATAGAATTTCTTGTTTTTCCCAGGTCATAGAATCAGTTAAATCAAATAGAATATGAAGTAAATAAAATATGTTTTAAAAAATAGTCTAAATTAGGGCCGGCAGGTGGCATGGTGGTGGTTAAAGGCTCTGGATTCCCACATGACCTACTGAGGTTCAAGTCCCACACCTGGTGGCTTGCTTTCTCGCTTTCTCTTTCTCTCTCTCTGTCTCTTTCTGGTCAAATTAAAAAATAATAATAACAAATGGAGTTAAATAAGTAGATAATTCTTTAAAAAGTAGTCTAAATTACCACTTTTGGTTTCTATTTCCCATTAAGCCCCCATGAGGATTAACTTTAAATATTTTCTGTCATATAGGAGATTAAATTATTTTAACATATAACTATATGCTATAATGTATACAAAATTTGTTTTAAGACATAGCTATCCAAATCATGAGTAATTTTTTAGAGGTTTTTTGTATTAGGATGCGTGCACTCACTGGGGAAAGAGACAGAGACAGTGAGAAGAAAAGTGAGAAATCACCCAATTAAAAAATAATAATAACAAATGGAGTTAAATAAGTAGATAATTCTTTAAAAAGTAGTCTAAATTACCACTTTTGGTTTCTATTTCCCATTAAGCCCCCATGAGGATTAACTTTAAATATTTTCTGTCATATAGGAGATTAAATTATTTTAACATATAACTATATGCTATAATGTATACAAAATTTGTTTTAAGACATAGCTATCCAAATCATGAGTAATTTTTTAGAGGTTTTTTGTATTAGGATGCGTGCACTCACTGGGGAAAGAGACAGAGACAGTGAGAAGAAAAGTGAGAAATCACCCCCTGGGAGGATGACCATGCCACAGTCCCTTCTCCTCCATTCCCCTCCTGGGATCTTTGGCATGTACACATATATACTGTGCATGAGTTTCAAGCCACTGGGTCCAGGACTCAAACTGCAGTCAACTGAATGGAAGTCCAATGATGTAACCACTACACCATATGCTGGATCATCATGAATATTTTGTTTATTTGTTTGTTTTAATTATTTGCCAGAGGACGGGTGTACTCACCAGAGAGAGAAGGAGAAGGAGAAAGCACTCCCTGAATATGGTGTGGTCATTCCCCAATCCCTTCTCCATTTCTCCATCCTGATGAGATTTGAGGTATGTGCATACCTGGCTTGTTTTTAAAGCTGCTGGGACCAGAATTCAAGCTATGCAGTCAGTGATGTGGGATCCAGCTCCCTTAACCATTAGACCATGGAGCCAGCTCATCATGATCATTTTTAAATTACTTTTTACTTACTAGTTTTGCAATTTCTTACATGGATTTATTTATAAGGTAATTGGATAAGTCATGATGCATTTTTGCATAGAAAAATACATCATGACTTTTGCAATGACCCAATATTTTTTAACATTGAATGTACTTCATTTTTAATGGAAAATATTTCATTAAAAGGGAAAGAAGAATTAAAGAAACTTGGGAGGCAAATATTTAAAAAGAAACAGTAACACAGTACACATAGATAAGCTACAGAGACAAAAATTCAGATTGCTCTGTATTGACTAATACTCCAGGGTTGTTACCTTAAATCTAGAGTGTTTTCTTAGAAATTTTAAAAGCAATTTGAAATTTGTAAGACCAGAGGTTTACCTGAGTTTAAATAAGAAAACGATAAAAATACAAATCATCTTTCTGCCCTCCATGTCAAGATTTTCTAGGAGCAAGGGTTAATGCTTATTTTCTAAAAATCACTTGAAAAAATAATTTTTTAATAGCACAGTTTTCACTTTTATGTATTGCATAAAGCCAGCAAAGCAGATACAGTGTTCTAAAACTGTGTTTAAAAATTGTGACTGTAGGGACCAGCAGATGGTGTAATGGTTACATCATTGCACTCCCATGTACTCAACTACAGTTTGAGTCCCAGACCTGGTGGTTTGAAACTTACCAGATATGCCAAGATCCCAAGGGACTGCAGTGCAGCCATGGTCCTGAGGAGTGAGTGATTCTTGCTTTCTGTCTCTCTGTGTCTCTCCAGCAAGTGCCATATAACAAATTCTCTAAAAAACAAAACAAAACAAAACAAAACAAAACAAAAACACAAGACCTGTGACCATAGGACCCAGTGAATTGTGTAGTGGCTAAGGCACTGGACTGCCACATGGCTCACCATAGTTCAGATTGAAAATTATGCCAGGCACGTGTATATACATGCCCAAAGTTTCAGGAGGAGAATAGAGAAGAAGGGACTGCAGGGTGGCCATCCCCCTGGAGAGGGGGTGATTTCTCACTTCCTTCTGTCTCCAACAAATGTACACGCCCTGTGGCAAAAACCTAAGAAAACTGTGACTGTAGCATTCCCTCTGTGAACAAACATAGCTCTCTTTTATAGTAGCAAAATGTTTAACAAGTTAAACTCTAGACAAAGTAAAGTTGATGGTATAAATAGTATATTCTCCCTATCTGTGTACCTGGGAACTATCTGCTCAAACTTCACCACAAAGTATAGAGCTAGATTGTTTCTGAGATGTTTACATTTCAAGCACAGATAGTCAAGGACAACAAAAGAAAGAAACTCCAAAGCAGCCTCATCTTTTTGCATGCTGCCTCTTGTTAAATTCTAAGCCTCACAGACATTTGAATACATGCAGTAAATTTGGTTTGTGAGGCTTAGAATTTAATCTCATACAAACACTAAGCTTCATCCTGACTGAACACTTCTGAGTACATTTCCTGACACACAGCATCAGTGTTCAATCAGGAGGGAGATGGGAGTAATCCAGATCATTCCAAGGACTCAAAAGTCTCTGGGTAAACAGTGTAGGTGAATTACAAAGTGGTGAGTATTTCTTTGAAAAATTACTGAATGAAGACAACTACTGGATATTGTCTAAGGCAGTTGAGTTTTTGCCTTACACAAGACAGTAAAGACCCCTGGGGTCAAGATTGATGTGTATTGAAAGCAAGGTGTACTTAGCTATTGACAGGATTCCTTATGCTGAGAGTGGTAGAAACAAATATCTAGCTTTGGGGGGGTCAGAATTTCATCTAAAAGTGCTTTCTACCAATTCAGTGAAGCAATTATTCAAACTCATACTGACCTCAAAGATTTCATCTCACAGGAAGAACACAAAAATTAACATTGATTTCATGTGTTTTAGACTATTCAGGATCCATTTCCCAGCCTTCTTCAAGTAAAATGTTATTGTTCTCATTAAGATTTCTTTTCTGCCTTTCTCTTTTGTCTTCTTTTCTACTTGCCCAGTCGTTATTTAGTCTTGGACACCGGAAGTCCTTGTGCAGCTGAGGGCTGGGAGTGGTGGCGTACTGGGTGGTAGGTAGGGTGATGCAGCAGTTCAAGACAGGGTATGGAGAGATGGTAAGGCTGCTTAGACAATAATTTAAAGCAAAATTATGTTTGTTGAACACTAAGAAAACTTTGTTTGGGTTAGCCCTATAATGCAGCAGTTACTTGTATAGTTCCTTTTAATATTAGGAATTCAAAGCAAATGATCTTTTCATAGTCCTTAAAATTCTGTTTTAGGAAGTAGAAAAGTGGTAGCTTTGTCTACAGAAAAAAGTCCCCAAACCTGAATTCCAGAGAGCCAGTGAATAGTGGTATGGGATTTATTTTTACTTTTTTATTTGTTTAATTACCAGAGGTTGTTGGTGCAACCAAGAGAGGAAGAGAGAGAAAGACTCCCCCCCACCGCTGCAATCCTTTCTCCTCCTGGGATTTTGGGTACACACACATACACATTTAGTGTGATTTTTAAGCTGCCAGGTCCAGGACTCAAACTACATCGGCCATGTGAAAGTCTAATGCCTTAACCACCACGCTACCTGCTGCTCCCCCATCAGAATTTTCATCATGCATACACACATACCCAGTATGTTTTTGAAGCTGCTAGGTCCAGGATTCGAACTGCAGTTGGCCATGTAGAATCGCTCTTGTTAAACAATAGGCTATGAGACCAACGAACCCCTGTTTTTTTTTTTGTTTTTTTTTTTAATTCATTCTTCAGTCATTTATTAAAGTAACTCAAATGCCTAACTCCATGCCCTGAGTGTTTTTTCCTTTTTCTTTTTTATTTCTCATACTATTAATTATTTTTTAGAGATTTTTGCTATGGAGTGCATGTGCTCACCAGAGAGACAGAAAGCAAGAAATCACCCCTTAGAGGAGATGGCATGCCACAATCCTTTCTTCTCCATTCTTCTGTCAGGATTTTACACACACATGCACTCAGCTTGAGTTTTAAGCCTCTGGGTCTGGACTCAAACCATGGTCAACTACAAGGGAGTCCAACACCTTAACCACTATACCAGATGTTGGTCCTATCACTTTTTTTTTTTTTTTAAGAAATGATTCCCTAGTGAGAGAATCTACTTCATATTCAGTTCTTCCAGCTAAAACCTTCTCTTATTTTTTAGAGTATATTTAGTCCATGAGTGAGAAAGAAAGAGATACAGCATTGTTAACAGTGTTCCAGTGCAGCAGTCCACCCCATTTCAGCCAACCCAGATCATTGTGCATGTATAAGCATGTACACTGTACCTGAAGAGGTCTCCAGATGCAAACCAGCTACTGACCTGTGTGGGTCTGCTTTGCAAAGTGTTGCTTTTCACCACTATGCCAATATCTGGCCCCCTAGAGCTTTGACAATATCATCATCTGTAAAATGGATACTCTTAGCCAATATCCTAATATATAGTACAGTTTATATAATGATTACCAAGCTTAAAACTAGAAATGTTGGGGACCACTGAGTGGCCTGGTGGTTAAGGCACTGGTCACTACCATATGGCCAACCACAGTTTGAGTCCTAGACCTGGTGCCTTGCTTTCTCACCTTCTTTCTCTCTCTCTGGTCAAATAGAAAATAAATGAATGAATAAATAAAGTTAAATAAATAATTCTTAAAAAAAAAAACTAGAAATGTCATATAAACTTTCATCAGTATGTCAGGAAAATACTAAACGAACATTTTCTCCTTGAATCAGCTTAAAATTTTACCTTCTTTCCAGATTCTACATATAGCTCTGTTTCCTAGAGAAAAATAGACTCTTTCAATATTTGTCCTTACCGTAGGAACTTGGTATCTAGTAAGAAAAACAAAATTTT